ATATATATATATGATACTATACCTGAGTTTTATATAACAATGCACGCATGAAAAATAAAGTGTGGCCCGGAAGGTGGACATGTTAAACACTAAAGTCCACATATGCTACTCTTTTCACCTCTTTTCATTTTTTTTCACGTCATTGATTACCCCAAACATGATAAAACCTCACTTGATTTGGTGCATGAACCTTGAAAAGTAAATATAGACAGCGGATTACCCAGTACTCATGAAGAGTTTTTGAGATATATACAACACAAATGATATTTAGCAACATTTGAAAAATGTTACTTAATTATGTATAAATGTTACTAATTTATTTTAGCAACATATTATCAAATGTTGTATATAGTCAATATCGTTAAAGACTTTTAGTAACATTTTTGTATAATTAGGTAACATTTTTTAAATGTTATCAAAGTAGTATTTTTATAATATTTTAATAATTTTTTGTAACATTTTAATGATGTTGTCAATATTTTGTTAATCTTATAAAATAATAATTAATTTTAATTATCAATTATTATATTTTTATGTCTCTTAAACTAAATTTCTAGGAGTTCCTTAAGTTTTTAGGGAAATACATTTTTAGTTAGTCACCACTAATTATATATAGAATATCAAATTTTATTTATTTTAAATATAACTATATGAGTATATATACTCTTTATGAGTCATTAATCTATTCGATGTGAGATTTTAATTATGGGTTACAATTAGATATAAGAGAAATATACTTTTTTTACTCGATGTGGACTTTGATTTTAAAAGCAATTATAGTAGCATTTTTCAAAAAAATGTTGCTAAATAACCTATTTAAATTTTTTTTACTCGATATGGAACTTTGATTTTGAAAACAATTGAAAAGAATAATATTGAAATAAAAAATGTTACTCTATCTATAATGACATTTTTCAAAAAAGTGTTACAAAATAACATTTATATAATATATAGTAACATTTTAACAAATGTAAACAAGAAAATGTTACTAAAAGATTAAAATTTAGTAGTGTTACATAGACAAGCTAGAATAAAAATAAAATTCTTTGCATTCATGCAATGATTTCTAATTTCAAGAAGTGTTAAGAAGTAAATTTTTTTGTTGATTATTACCTTCAGCAAAGGAATTTTCCTGCTTGTGTGATGCATGGTCTTTGGCTTCATCATCTTCTTTAACCTACGTGTTTGGAAAATCAAGGAGTAAATGACATAAATATATATTGATAAAAATAACTTGTGAAGACTGAAGAACCTTCTTTAGATTCTTGCAGCTGTACCTTCTCATTGAATCTTAGCCTTCTAGGAACCGTTGGAAGAGATAGCTTCATGTTTGTATTGACTGCTCCAATATTATCATCTATAAGGAAGAATAGAATCAATGATAATTAATTATTAAGGACCCTTTTTAGGACTTAATAAGAACTCACAAACTTATTTAGAGTCTTTTTATATAAAATTAGAAACGTTTTTAGAAGTTTTTCTATTAAAAAATTTTCTTTATTTTCAATAAAGAAACTTTCAAAAACACTCTAATTTATATCTAAACAAATTCTCCATAATTTTCATAAGTTGATGGAGAAGTAGATAATTTACATATATTCATGAAGAGCCTTTTTCGATACAAGTTTGAAGGTATTTTGAGCATTTTTGCTCTCTGTAGTAGAAAATGTTTTGAAAACATTTTTAATTTGTATTCAAATAGGGTCACTGAGAAAGAAAGAAAGTGCTTACCTTGAAGGAGGAGTGGATGTTCCAACTGAATTTGAGAAGATGAACAAGTTGGTATTAGAGAAGAGAAGGAGAAGATAAGAAGAGTGATGATGATAATGAGCTCCATTTCTTTTCCACAAAGGATGCACAAGATACTTTCTTTTCAGCAGGTAGGTTAAGCTTATATACAAACCCAAGAATAGGGAAACCTCACAGACACTGACAAGGGCATGAGAGAGAGAGAGAAAGCAAACACAAAGCACAAAATGCAGAGTTCCGAAACAAGTACTGGAAAATCTTAAATATTCATTACTTACTTTTTACTTTTTTAAGGACTTAGGAGGCTTCACGCAATTCAGGTTGTTTTGTTTTACCTAATGCTATAGGGCCCTTGGTTTCTTTCTTCCAATTTTAACGATGCTTCATCTCACTGCTTATATCATAAAATTATAATGACATATATAGTAAGAGATCTCTACATATTTGTAGTGTAAGCCAATATTTTTTATATTTTAATCCATCAACTTTTCTCATTTTTGTTTTTAGTCTACGAAGTATTACTTAATGAGATAGGCAGTTATACTCCCCCATCAATGATGTGAGTGATACGGACGATGAGTTTATGAGCATGGATAAGGAAATTTTTATCCATTAAAGTGTATATGAGACTATGGAAGCATTCTTTCTTTAGTCCTTACGTATACTAACTTCTAATATAATTCAATATATCGTGGTTTCAATTCTTCACCCTTACTCATTCCACCTTTTCAATGCCATAATTTGAACGTCTTTACTTGGACCAACATCTTGTTTACAAATACTAATAATATGCAAAACTCAATAAGAAAACATATAGATTTGATAAAACTCGATTACACCTTATACAAAAGTTAGTGAAAACATGGTAGTTCTGAACCATATAAAGATTTCTATTAAACCACATATGCTAATAATACTGATACTTACTCAATAAGAAAATAACATATAGATTTGATGTTAAAGATATATATATTTTGAAGTATTACTTGATGAGATAGGCAGTTATACTCCCCCATCAATGATGTGAGTGATACGAAGGACGAGTTTATGAGTATGGATGAGAGAATTTTTATCCATTAAAGTGTATATGAGACTATGGAAGCATTCTTTCTTTAGTCCTTACGTATACTAACTTCTAATATAATTCAATATATCGTGGTTTCAATTCTTCACCCTTACTCATTCCACCTTTTCAATGCCATAATTTAAATTCACGTCTTTATTTATTTGTGTCGCAGATAGGCCATGGGAATGGATATAGGGACTGATCAAATACTCTGTTTATGGTTGGACATGCGAAAGCTGCATTTTTAAATGGATATGATAAGTTTCGTATGTAAAATAAATCGTTAAAAAAAAAAATTTGACTTGCTTCTGGTCGGTGAAACATGCAGATAAATATTTGTAAGTCTAATAGTTTTTAAAAAAAAATGTCAAATTCAAGAGATTCCCCCCTCCCCTCCCCCCTTATTAAAGTATTGAAACATGAAAAAGAAATCAACAAGTCCTTGAATTAAATGGTACTAGATTATGTTCCATTAAATAGTATCTCATATTCTAATTTTGAGTATGAAAAAAACATAGTTAAAAAGAAATTTTTTATTAAAAGTGACTAATCAAGTTTTTTAATAGAGATTTGTCATCGGAGAAGTTGGTAGATACCTCAAGCTAATAATAGAGTTACAAAGAAAACTTAGAAAGAAAATTAATACTAAAAAAGGGATATAATTACATTTGTAAACAATATCAAACATTTTAAATTAAAATTCAAAGTCTTAGCATATCAATATTTTTTTTTATAAAGATAGAAAAGATTACAAAGATGATCGTAATGAAGATTAAACTTATATTTTCATGTTTTTAATTATCTCAACCTCTCCCCAACCAACCACTTAACCAAAGTAGTTTTAGCATATCAATGTTTACATATTCAAAAAAAACATTAAAATTTTAATGTTTTAAAAATTTAAAAGTCCAAATACATTAACTAAATATCAAAGTCTTAAATCTTAATGTCTTTAAATTTTAAAAGTCAAAATACATTAATCATATAACAAAGTCTTAATGTCTTAAAAATAAACATTATTAAATTTTCATGCTAAATGGACTAGGCCTTGGACGCCACGAATTAAGCCCACAAAGTCTAGGGACATCATGGACCAAGTCGAATAATTCGTTAATCTAAATGTCTTCAAATTTTAAAAGTTAAAATACACTAATCAAATATTAAAGTCTTAATATCTTAAAAATAAACATTATTAAATTTTCATGTTAAAAGGGTAAGCCCGTGGGCTCCACAAATTAAGCCCACAAAGTTTGCAAATTTCATGGACTAGGCTAAAAAAATCTGTTATATCATACGGATTTTAAAAGAGTGAGCCATATTCGTATAGGTTGTGCATTAAATCAACAAGTTCAAAGACCTTAACTCTTATACCCCGATATTGACTCATCATACTCCCTTTATAGATGGATTAATGTTTAATTAGTGTTTTTTTTCTTAAGAAAGTAGTTATGAACTAAACACAACCTTACACAATCGATTTGTAAAATGAGAATTATTTCTCACTTATATATATTATTATAATCTTATATTTAGTTGATTTGAAATCTTCAACACATACTCCTTACATTGAGAAACTAGACATCTTAATCTGATAACTTTCTCACAACGAGTAACACAATAGGCCTAAGCCAATTTTGTATAGTTAAGGTAGACTCCATAAATTAAACCACTTTCTTAACATTCTTTCTATCTTATACATTAGGTGCATTTTCTTTATTGTCACTAAAAAGATAACAAAACAATACCTAACAAAATAAACGTTCATAATGTTAATTAAAACAATACATACTCTTGAATAAGAAAATTCTCCTCTAAAGATAAACTTTCTTAGCTAGCCAATTTGTGCATTAGTTACCTTCTCTATAAATATGACTTAAAGATGGTTACCAAGCCTTATCGATAAGGATAAGATCTAGTTTAACACAAAGCATAAGATGCCAATTAGAAAAACCCCGTTATAAAATGGAGATGGAATTCCTATCACAAACAACATTTTTGAAACTTGTTTCCTTAAGCTAACTAAAAACCTTTCTAGATTGCAATGGATTATGCATTGATGTTTGTTATATATGTTGAGAACTCAAGGATACAAATTTTTTTATGTATCATAATTACAATGACGACATTAAAATTTGAATCTATAACCTTATGCATACTATTTTGATTTCCGCCAATAATATATATTAAAAGGGACACAAATATTTTTTTCAAAATGATGGAAGTATTTATCATGTTATACATACAAAATCTATTTGATGTATATATTTTTAAGTGATAATTAAATGTATTTTTTTTTTTTGATAGGCAAATGTTAATTGTTAATTGTTAGTTATTAGTGGGGAGATTCGAACCCACACCCTCCTTATCACTCCAACCCTATAATTAAATGCATTTAAGAAGATGTATTTTATATATGTTCCCTAATCTATCACACTCTTAAGAAATAATTATATTAGTTGAGAAAATAATCCAATAGATTGACATTGGTTAGGCATTCTATGCCACATGTTTTGGAGACAATTTATTTAGCCAAAAACATGTGATCATTCTTATCATGTAAAAAACACATAAAAACACATCAAGTTAACAATAGTCTTAATACTGCGAACAATATTAGTCTCAAATTTGGAGAATTGAGAAGTACTTTTGACAAGGAAAAAAATTATTCAGAGAAAGTTTATCAATAGCTATATCATGGATAGATGTACACAATTGTAAACAAATACTTTTATTAACCAAGGGTGTGTTTGAAAAGAAATAAAATAAAAGACAAGGGAAAAAGTGTGAAGAAGTAAAAGAAAGTTATATCTATTTAATTATATATATATATATATATATATATTATGTTATAGATATTATACAACATATATAATATTTATTTAAAATAACAATAATAATAGTTTTTTATTAATTATTTTTCATAAAAATTATTTATAAAAAATTAACTTCTACTTTATTTTATATTCTCTTTATTAAACAAATTTTGCTTCTTTTATATTTTATTTATTTATTTATTTACTCTTTACTAAATCATAATTCTTTACACTTTTTCCCTCTATTTTTTTTTCTCTTTACTAAATACAGTATAAATACTTTAGCTCTAGTGATATTTTGTTCTCATAAAGAGAAAGTTCTACGTATGGGAATGGAACTTTCTAGCTAGAAGAGTACCTACCTAGGAAGAGCATAATAAACTGAAATATGAAAGCTTCACATGCCATAACAGTTATACAACTGTACGGGTTTACTATGTTGTTCAACTTGTAGCACCATTTAAGGCCCTCGAAACCCACCCAAGTGGACCGACATTCATGCAAGTCAAGAAAATGATAGTGTTGATGGTTTTATAAGAAGTGGGAACTGCCAACTAAATCAAATTTATGATAACTATGCTTTGCTCCTCTTGCTTCCATGCCTCAGTCAAACACACATATTTATCAACCGTAGAAAGACTAGCGATTATCGAAGTTAGGCACATGCAACATTGTTCATCAAACATTATGGCGCAGTGTTTCAGAAGAGGCTACCTTTTTGTCCAACTGTGTCTCCCTAACCAAAATTATGAAATACTTTTCCATCCAACAATAGTTTACTATTTTAATAAATATATAGCTTTTAATTATAATATAGTTGAATAACTAAAAGTATTTATATTTTTAAACTAAGAATCGAGTTCGAACCTTCTTAATATGGAATTATTTATCATTAATATGGTCTCATTCAATGAAAGGTAGGGGTGTTTATGGATCGATTTTTTGAAAAATTCGAACCAAATCGAACCGTTTTATAAAAGTGAATCGGTTAACTAATCTGTTTTTATAAAGTGGATCGGTTTGGTTTTTCTAAAATATGGATCGGTTTTTTTTTAAATTAGATCGATTTGGTACGGTGCAGTTATCTACTTTTTATTCATATATGGATCGGTTTTTTTTAAAAACCAAACCGAACCGAAACGATTCACTTTGTAAAATGGATCGGATAACTGAACCCGATTTTATAAAATGGTTCGATTCGGATTTTTTTCCAAAATGAATCGGATTTTTCAATACGGTTCGGATCAGTTATGGATCAGTTCGGATGAATTTGAATTTTTTGCACACTCCTAATGAGAGGGAGATATACTTTCTAATTATATAAAAAAAATTATAAACAAAAAACTTTAAAATGTAATTAATATTATTTTATAAAGTAAAAAATATCATTTATTTTATAACATATTAAAAATGCTAAAATTACGGTGTGGAACGGAAGAATTACTAATAGTATGTAATGCACACAACGACTTATGCCTTCAAAACTATGAATAGGAAGCTTATATAACTATCAAACTT